AGCAACACAATCCACCAACACCAGCACCACTTCCACCAACACCAATCCCACCACCCCACCAATGTCTGGCGATTGTATTCCAACCATAATGCAGTGGTATTTACCCCTGGGGTCGCGACTCGCAAAAAGTAGCTTATATCCTTCCCCAGGAAGCAACCTACCTCTATACTAAAGTGGGTGGAGAAAGTCACACATTTAGCCTTATTACGTAGGATATCCTGCCATCTACGGCACTGTCAAGGTTAAACTAACTAACGTTTCAAGTACCGACCGACTTCATCACTCAGCGACGTACCAATCAATGTTATTACCTAGTTTTATTGTATATAATACGTAAAAAGGTACTTACTTCACTCGATCCCGATACCCGAGAGTACAAAAAAAAGGAAATATCCTTATATTCTCTAGAATTATTCATTTATACTGTACAACTATTAGGCCTTTTTGGCTTATACAGAACACTTATTATTTAACTATATAAATTTATAATAACTTGATTCTTAATTATTTTAATTAAAATACTTAAATCTAATTATTTAATTGGTGTATAAACCTTCGAAATATTGTTGGTCTATTTATTTAAATGCGCACGACTAACAAACAGCCCTTTCATGGATACTCTGACTGAGCCGGCGCAAACCGGTTTGTACCCCGACGGAGCGTCGGTGAGAGCTCACGCACACATCTCTGCGCTATGTATGGGTGTATTCGCAGCGAGCCGTTTGTATGTAGGTTCCCGTCTGGTCGGTTTCTTTACTCATGTGATATGGGTGGCAAGCAAGCACACAGGCTACCTGAGGATAAAGTGGGTGCTTGTGGCCTATAGACACTTACATCTAAACTTTCTTTTTTTATAGGATAGGGTGACAAATGAGCACACAGTCCACCTGATGGTAAGTGGTTGCTGTGGCCCATAGACATCTACATCTATCCTCGAATAAGAATCAAAATGCAGATACGTTGTCATCCGTAAGGACTAAGATAGAATGCCTCTATTCCAGTAAAAAGGGTCTCCGGTTCTCTACACTCACCATACGAAACAGCAGCATTAAGCTGCTATTTTACGCTGGTATTCTGTGAGTGTGGTCCTTCACCAGTCGAGCCATATAATATATAATTCTACAGCCATAATATAGCTGCAACATGGCTCTACCAACTAAACTCGAGTGCTCTACCACGTAAAAAAAATTTTACACAGACCGCTCCACTTCTTCAAAACTGGACAAGAGCGTTTATGGTTGTACGTACGATTTCCCTTAACCGATTCGTTGCGGCGCCGATTTTCGACAACTTTTAGCTGTGGCGGCGAACAAATATTGTGACACGCCTGTCGTGTCAAGCGCCACAGCTATCTCATCAGTGTCATCAGCCATGTGTAAAAGTAATGTTCTTTTTTATGCTTTTTTCACTTGTTTAGACCTAATGAAGTTTAGTTGACATAAAACATCAGTTGCAAACGGAAGGATACTTGTTTTTAGTGGGTAAATACGTGTTTTCCTACGTGTTTTCTTTGAAATTGAGAGTAAGTGACTTTTTTTATGCAGAGATTACAAACTGTTTGTACTATTTTTTGTTTAAAAAAAATTATATAAGTAGGTACAGCTAAATCACCCTGGAAAACCTTGGTTTTTATTAAATTAAATTTTCACCTAATAAAAACATTTGTAAATATCAAACAATGAAGAACCTTAATTTGGAAAAAAATAAGGTTTATGATTCATTGATATTTACAAATATTAATGTTATACAAATGTAAAAGTAAAGTCGATCTGAAAACGTCTAATTAGTAAGAATAGCAAGTGTTTTCAAAAGGAAAAAAAACGCCGGCGCTATACGGCGGCGGATTGACAAGACTTTATTAGCGAACTTTTTTTTATGCAAGAACGGTTTCAAACTGTTTCAAGCAAAAATAAACCTTATACCATATCACAAGAGCACATGGTACTTCGTAGGTCTATTCGGCCATATGATAGTAATAAGACGGCAGTTCAACCATTTTAAGCAAAATTAAACAATAAGACAAACGCATTGTTTTCTTTTAACAGGAGACTTGTTTTCCAGAAATTTATTTACAACTTGAGTTTGTGAGCGATCGCAATGAGTGCTATTATTTGTTACTTATTAGACTATTTTTCCACAACGTGATTTAAAACCGACAAAATAAAAAGAGAACCATGTACAAGTTAAAAAATGGTCAACCCCTAAAAATTTCAAATTTTCAAAATATCCAGAAACGAAGCTGCAGGCATGAACTATTTGCAAAATAATGAATATTTTGTTCTGGATAAATCTTCCAAAAAAGTAATTTGAGCGAGTTTTAAAAAGACACGACTCGCGTGTCTTACGCCACACACAAAAGTAATCGGTGGCACGCCTGGCGTGCCACCCGCACTGAACCGGTTAATAACTGCATGCCGAGTATTTCATGCCAGGTTAAACGTTAAAAGTACGACACAGATAATGCTATGAGGTCTATCTAACGATAATAGTCCTGGAAATGAGGTAATCGCTTCCAAGATGTTTTTTAAATAAGTTTTGGTAAGTAATTGTACATCTTTGATTGCTTTTCGAAGTATTCTCCGCGAAATTTGACACATTTTTCCATACGATGGAACCAATCATTGAAGCAACCATTCCATTCGGAAGTTGGGGTCTCCAAAATGGCCGTTTTGTAGGCGTCCACAGCTTCTTCAAGAGACGAAAATCTCTCTACACGCAATTTATTCTTTATTTTAGGGAAAGTATAGAAAATAATTAGGGCTTAGGTCGGGGCTGTACGGCGGATGGTCTAATAATTCTGTTTTCTTGCTCTAAAAACTCTTTTGTTCTGTGTGCGGTGTGAGAACTCGCATTGTCGTGATGGAGGATGATGCGGCGGTTGCAGTTCTCTTTACGGAGTTCAGAAACGACCTGTGGCAAACAAATGCTAGCATACCATTCTGCATTAACCGTTCTTTGTCCCTCAAAAGGAATAGTCGTAACATGGCCGGTTTCGGAGACAAACGTGGCCACCATTTTTTTTGCAACACTCCGTGAACGAACAATTTTTGTTGGCTTTAACTCATTTTCGAACACCCAAACTCGTGACTGGTTTTTTGTTTCGGGTTCGTACGCGTATATCCAGGATTCGTCACCTGATACGATGTTGTATACAGCATTTGAGGATCCTGCGTGGAATCTTTCGAAAGTTCTGACGCACCAAGTAACGCGAGCCGCTTTTTGCTCTTCACAGAGCGAATACGGTATCCATCGGTAAAACAACTTTTTTACACCTAATTGTTCATGCCAGATTATTTGTATTTGACTCATGCCAATGTCTAAAGTTGCCTGAATTTCGCGGTATGTCACATGTCGATCTTCCTCAATCAGCTTACGCACAGTATCAACGTTTTCTTGGGTGACTGCAGTTTTTGGACGACCTTGACGGGGATCATCACTGAGCTTGACACGTCCACGTTAAAATTCAGCAAACCAGCGATAAATTGTGATTTTGGATGGGGCTTCATCACCAAATGCAGAAATCATCCGGTCAACACACTGTTTTTGTGTTAAACCACTTCGAAAGTCATAATAAATCATCGCTCTTGAATTTTCTCGAGTCAATTCCATTTTCTCAACGACTAAACAAGTTTGACAAAACCTTGTGACGAGACCGAGAATCTTTTTTTAAATAAATAAATGGTATTCGATTTTTAAAACCAAAGGGTTTTCAATTAAAAAAGATTTTAATATGACAGGAACAGTGGAAATATTCCATTCCCGATACTTTTAATGCAGCCTATGTAGTTCCTCTGGTTCGTGGAAGCAGACTGCAGATATATTGAGGTTGCAGCACGAAACGAAAAAAGCTCGATCGGGGAAGGACCACGCTGTTTTTGTGTTTCGTATGGTGAGTATAGAAAACGTTTTACGGGAAACGAGGTAGTGTGAGGGCAACAGCATCTGCTTACCATCGAGCGGACTGTCTGCTCGTTTATCACTCTTATTCTTTAAAAAAAAAAACTTACAGTTATTAAATCAGATTGTAGAATGTTGGTGAAATTCAATTAAAACAGTGTCTCCATCTATAAATAAATTTAATATTTTTTTAACATCGAATAAAAACGTACAATAGCACTGTATCAACTAAAGTACACTGGGCACACTACAGTACACTTGTGCCCGACTATGAGTTAGAAATAACATGGATTACTAAACTAAATTGTTCATTATCAACCCCAGACCAACAACGATAGATCCAGTTATTCTCAACTAGCCGCACACATCTGTACCTAAAACAATGTTGGTTGCAAATTACTTTAGATGCATATGTGTGCAGAGTGTGTTCTTACAGAGTTGAGCACAGTTTTGGCTTGGTGTCAGCATCACTTGAAATGTACGTAGCGCTCCATCTATATTTCTATATTGGTCTGTGTCACTACTCACTCTCAGCTACGTGAAGGTCAAAAGGTTTTCGTTAACAACACCACTAGGTAAATATTGTTACACATGATCTTTTAATTGTGTATATGTCGCAGCCAACTAACTTAACCCTTAAATTTGCTTTGTTGCATATCTGCAACGTACCAAAAATTGATCTAATGTACAAACTGTAGTGACGTATATCCGAATTTCATCCACACAGATAATAGAGAATTTTGTTTTCTTTTTGACAACTGACAAGGCGGTTCAATTTTGAATTTCAAAACCATAAACTTTCTATGTGTATGTTCGGGAACGCGCCAAAAAGTGGATTAGTGAATTGTTCGAAGATTTTTTTCACTTTGCCTGTATCTTTGTAAGGTGAGTGGTGTTTGTTTTTATGTTTTCAGACATATTATAATACTATGAAAACGGCACAAAATTAGTTTCGCTGTAAATACAGGGTTTTCATATACTTTTTTATCAAAATCTGTTTGTTGCATAAATGTAACATCGCGCATTTATAGACATAAATAGTTTGATTTTCGTATGTTTCATACGGCATTTTTTCTACATTTTCGTACGTATTTTTTTCTAGAATGCCGAGGACGCTGGATTCGAAAACCATTGAGGAATACCTCCAAGTCCTGGACCAGTCTGAGGATGACATGGATTCTTCAGGAGGGGAGGAGGCAGATGAAGAAATTTATTATGAGAATAATCGACAGTTATTGGCAGATTTGGTAAATGAAGTGGATGCTGAGCACGTAGATTTTTTCTGTGGAAGGTACTAGTGATAATCCGCCACTTATTATTGATAATGCTGATGAGTCATCATTGGAAAACAAGAGCGAGGAGCCACAGAATCACCAAACTGTTGCCTCTCGTCAACGGTACGGCCGCGTGACTTGGAGACGCACAAATCTCACCACTATTCAAAACATTTAAAATTTTCCTCAAAGTATACAGTACCCAAATAAAATCTTAGAATTATCGACGCCATACCAATTTTTCTCATATTTCTTCACCCAAGAACTGAGAGATAAAATCCATACAGAAAGTAATTTGTATGCTACCCAGAAAAATTTATCTAATCCATTTGTTATCTCTAGAAATGATCTGAATAAGTTCCTAGGGATTCTTATTTATTCTTCTATTGTAAAAAACCCTAACTTTCGGTTGTACTGGTCAGATCAATATGGTTATGAACCCATAAAATCCACAATGACTCAAAAACATTTTGAGAAAATTTGTTATGTTTTACATTTCAATGACAATACAACTCATTTACCTCAGGACCACCCCAATCATGACCGGTTGCACAAGATTCGGCACGTAATTGATGAGCTAAATACCAGATATGCTACAGTACCTTTGGAGCAACGATTATCGTTAGACGAACAAATGTGTGCTACCAAAATGAGTCACTATATGAAACAGTACCTTCCGAACAAGCCACACAAATGGGGGTTCAAACTGTTCTTGATCTGCAGCATATACGGATTTGTGCACAAATTTGAGGTGTATTCTGGCAGTGAGAAATATCTCCACATAAACGGCGAACTAGATTTGGGGCCTACTGGCAACACCGTTGTACGGCTAGCACGGATTGTTCCAAAACGTGCTAATCATATAATTTATTTTGATAATTTCTACACATCTGTCCCCTTGGTTACGTACCTTGCAAAAGAAGGAATTTACTGCTTAGGATCCATCCAATCAAATCGAATCCCAAATAACAAACTGCCAGATAAGAAAACTTTGATGAAGAAAACAGTACCAAGAGGACACTGAGGAGCAGGTTGCCAATGTTGATGGTGTCGATATCAGTGCTGTAGTCTGGAAGGATAATAAACCAGTTACTTTGCTTTCAACGTATACCGGGTCCTTGCCAATAACCACTATTTCTAGATATGATAAAGTGACGAAACAAAGAGTACAAATAAATTCATCATCATCATTACAGCCCTTCACAAGTCCACTGCTGAACATAGGCCTCCCCCAAAGAATGCCACAAAGCACGGTCCTGAGCCACCTGCATCCATCGACTTCCTGCATGTCTTACCAGGTCGTCACTCCATCTCGTGGGGGGACGCCCTACACTTCGCCTACCGGTACGAGGTTGCCACTCGAGAACCTTTCTTCCCCATCGGTTGTCGGTTCTTCGAGCTTTATGGCCGGCCCACTGCCACTTCAGCTTACTAATTCGTTGGGCTATGTCGGTTATTCTGGTTCTACTGCGGATATCCTCATTCCTAAGTTTATCACGCAGAGAAACTCCGAGCATAGCCCTCTCCATAGCTCGCTGAGCGACCTTGAGCTTCCTCATACGGCCAGCAGTGAAGGACCACGTCTCAGTTCCGTAAGTCATCACTGGCAACACGCACTGGTTGTACAATTTCGTTTTAAGGTTTTGAGGTATGTCTGACGAGAAGATGTGTCGTAGCTTCCCGAACGCTGCCCAGCCGAGTTGAATCCGTTGATTGACCTCTCGGTCGAAGTTGGACTTACCTAGTCGGACTATTTGTCCCAGGTAAACATACTCGTCAACAACTTCGAGCTTAGTGCTCCCAACAACTACCGGCATAGGTGTGACATGGACATTAAACATAATCTTTGTTTTGTCCATGTTCATCTTAAGACCTATCCGTTGGGAAACACTATTGAGGTCATTGAGCATAGTGCTTAGGCCCTCCAGCGATTCTGCCATAAGGACTATATCGTCGGCAAATCGAAGGTGAGTGATGTACTCGCCATTGATGTTGATACCGTATCCTTTCCAGTCCAGAAGCTTGAAAACGTCTTCCAATGCAGCGGTGAAGAGTTTCGGGGATATGACGTCACCCTGTCTTACACCTCTCTGCAATTGGATAGGTTTCGTACTCTGGTTCTGTACTCGGATAGCCATCGTAGCCCTACTGTACAAGCACTTCAACACTTCGATATACCGACAGTCAATTTGGCACCGCTGAAGGGACTGCAGCACCGCCCAAATTTCGACGGAATCAAAGGCTTTCTCATAGTCCACATACGCCAGACATAGTGGCAAATTGTACTCTTCGGACTTCTGTACAACTTGCCGAAGGGTATGTATGTGGTCTATGGTGCTAAAGCCCTTTCGGAAACCGGCTTGTTCGGGAGGCTGGAAGTCGTCAAGTCTGCGCGCGAGACGATTCGTAATGACTCTCGAAAACAGCACGTAGACGCGGCTCAGAAGGGAAATCGGTCTGTAGTTCTTCAAGAGAGCGTTGTCACCTTTCTTGAAGAACAAGACCACCGCACTTCTGCTCCACGCCTCCGGTGTAATGCCACCATGGAGGACGGAATTAAAGAGCTTCTGAAGGACTTCAAGTACCGGTCTTCCACCCGCTTTCAGAAGCTCCGAAGAATAAATTGTCCACAAGTAATAAAAGATTATAATTCTCATATGGGAGGTGTAGATCTGCTTGATAGTTTTATTGGAAGGTATCATATTACACGCAAAAGCAGAAAATGGACAAACCGCCTGTTTTTCCATCTTCTAGACATGACCATTATAAACTCCTGGCTATTATATAAAAGAACTCTCATATCTCGTTTACACTCTCGCCTCGTACCTCGCCTCGCAGCTCGCGTGTTGTTGTGAGGTAACGAGTGCCTGTTTACACTGTCGCGATGCGGTCAGTTTGCGTTGAGCCAGCAACGATGAATGACGTCGAAATAATAGCGGCATCAACTCTTGCCTTAATAAGTATTTATCGATGTTTGACCATTTTAAAAAGATGGAAATTAATAAAAATACGTCGTTGAGGAAGAATATGACGGATGATATCTATTCATCGAAACAGAACCTTTTCAGTTTCATAATTTTATATAAATTGCGAGTACTTATTAAGATTAAATAATATTTTTATATTTTTTAATATTTTAATATTTTTATTATTTTATATATAGCAAGATTAAATAATATTATTTTATTAAAATTGTATTTTAAACCAAAAGCAATTCGAATGTTATTATGTAAGGGCGCCGTAAATAAACTGAAACGAGACGCGAGTGTAAACAGCACGCTCGCGTCCCTCGCGAGGCCCTTTGCCTCGTGCCCAAAAAACCGGCTCCGACGCTCGCGCCGCGAGTGGCGAGGCGAGCTGCGAGGCGAGCCACGAGCTAGCGTTTACACTCGCGCCTCGTGGCTCGCCTCGCGACTCGCCTCGTCGCTCGCGCGAGACTGTAAATGGGTTATAAAACAGGTCCACTCAACCACAAAGCCTATGAACCTGTGTAATTACAGGCTTGAGTTGGCAAATGCCTTATGTAATCTCGGTCCACAGGCCAATCGTAATAAAAGGGGCCGGCCAAGCTCTTCTTCTTTAAAAGCAGATTTTCAGCTGAAAAAAAAGCGTGGGCCTGCACAAAGTATGCCTCCTAAAGATGTCCGCCAAGATAAAATGGGCCACTGGCAGAAATGGGGTGATCGGTCAAGGTGCAAATATCCTCACTGCAAGGGTTATACATACACATATTGTGAAAAATGTAGAGTAAGTTTATGCTATAATAGAGATAATAACTGTTTTTATAAATTTCACCATGATTAAATAAACTACATATTATAAAATTTTATTGACATTTTGATTTTAATTTTCACCCATCCATCCAATCCCCATACATAGTATAGTTCGATAAGTGCGCACAGTTGCAGATATGCAACATACGATTTTTTCATTTTCAGTGGCTATAATTCAATACTATTTTTTTTAACCATTTTTCCTGTTCTCTTTAGACCCCTATACAGGTAAAAAAATATATTTTAGAATAATAAAAAAATAGCGCATTTAAGGGTTAATTAGCATAATAGTAAAGCATATTAAATGGCACGGTCTGCCTATTAACTTCATTCCACGGGACGGTCGCTGGTCTGAGCCTAAATGCGTTATGTGCTATATTATATAAATGAACGCGGCATTAGGACCACCCCAGCCGCACCTTAACCTACTGTCGATGGTATTACAAGATATATGCAATGTTGTATTAGACGCCTCGGCTGAATATCACTCAGGCGGCTAGTTGAACGGTGCCGTATAGTAAAAAGGCTATACTGTTAACTGAAAGGCAAAATGAGATAGTTGGCTGCAACATACACGACAGGTCATATACTGCATGGTAAAGACGCTTATAAATAAGATATATTCATTACAAAGTTAAGACGTTAAAATGTATTACATTAAATCAAGCAAAAGCTTGGCGTGCTCAGCAGAGTGTGACAGTATTTCATGCCGGCACACCCCTTGCAACTTTACAAGGCGCAGGTTGGGCCTCACATGGAATACTGTTCCCATCTCTGGGCCGGAGCACCCCAGTGCCAGCTCCTTCCATTAGACCGCATCCAGCGCAGAGCGGCTCGAATCATCGACGACCGAGTTCTTTCTGATCGGCTTGACTCACTGGGACTACGTAGAGATGTTGCCATCTCTTTGCGTATTTAATCGCATCTATCACGGGGCGTGCTCTGAGGAATTGTTTAGACTAATTCCAGTCGCTCAATTTCACCATCGCACATTGCGACCAAACTCGCGATACCATCCATACCATCTGGATGATTGGCGGTCCACCACTGTGCGATTTAGAAGTTTTCTTCCTCTCACAACTTCCTTGTGGAATCGATTACCACCAGCGATTTTTCTGGACCGATACGACTTAGTGACCTTCAAGAAAAGAGTCTACTCCTTTTTAAAAGGCCGGCAACGCATCTGCAATTCCCTTAAAGTAGCAGTTGTTCATGGGCGGCGGTAGTCACTTACCATCAAGTGAGCCGCATGCTCGATTGCCTCTTCTCCTATACAAAAAAAATTTGTAACTTGATTTGTACAATTAATTGCACAACAAATCATAATGGTTAACTGTTTTTTTAAAGTCCTGCTGGGTTCAGGACAGATGTATTTTACAAATGCAGGACGGGACTATAGTGCCCAGTGCAAAGCAAAGGTACACTCTATTCCATTCACTCTTATAGTCCAATGGGATGGCAAACTGACACTATCAGAGATCAAGCGAAGGGACCAACAGCTTTTATGTGTTATTCGAGGCACGTAAAACACCGCCAACTTTCTCACTTTGGGCTTCTACCGCGTATTTCACATATTCGTTTACGACAACTAGATCAACGAAGCAGTCAATATTTTGTAATATCACGTAATGAACCCTACGGTGGTGTTGTTAGTGAACCATTTTGTTCAGTCTCTACACGACTGAGGAAGTTGTTGCCAATGAACAAACTGAAAGCACATTGAGTTTAAATAGGCATCGACTGCTGGAGAGATGTTCATGTTGTGAAGTCATTTTATCAAACAAAAATTGATTGACTTTGAAGGTGGTACATAAAACAGACACCAGATACGTTAGAAATCGCTAAGTTATGAAATCGTGGATTGTTATGAATGGATTGGTTGTATTATTTTTATCCAAAAATTATATTAATTATCTTTAACCCTTAATTTGGTAATGTGTACTGTAAGATACAATCATTTAAAAAAAATCTTCAGCGATATATAAACATTTTATTTGAAATCGATCGATTTTATGTTAAAGATGGATTAAGTAACAACACTATAAAAACTATAAACTGCATTTTCGACTCATTCCCATCCCTAGTTATGTTATTCTGCGAAGATGTCACGTCATGGGAGCAACCCATCCGTAAGTAATATCGATTTTATCTGTATTTTTATAGTTTTTGACACGAAATATTTGTTGCAATGTTTTTGTATTGAACTAAACTAATGATTTCGATAAAAATCTTGTCTTGAAATGTGTTTTCTAGGCCCTAGTATGTATTCTAACCTAATTGTATCCACACAGATACATTGCCAAAAACCCGGCTAAGTTGTGTAACATAATACTGTATCTGAGGGGATACACCGTCAAAACTTAGTAAAACAATGCTTGACGTTTGAAGTTATATTATATACTAATACTAATACATAATACTATATTTTATGGCTGTGTGAGTAATCCCGCCCCGCCAAATCTAAGATTAATATCTGATTTATGAATTTGCCTGATGTTTTATGTAGTATTTTCGTGTTATGGTGTCTTTTGTTTTATTTTTGCTTGGGTTTGGTTTTTGGTTTCATATGTTTTTTTATTTTATTGTCCATAGATACTTCAACGGGCTAGGTGTAACCGCATTTTTGCACTATTACCTGAAAGAAATGCACAGTCTGATGGTAGTGAGCTGTCAGACGTTGAAGAAGAGGACTTCTTTGAACCTCCAGATGAAGACTGTTTCAGTTCTTCTCCGCCTTCCATAGATTCGTCACTCGAACGAATGAATATACTTGACAGCGATGACGAAGATCCCTCTTTTGCAACACCAGCTGCGTCACTTTCTGTGACTAACGATCGATCCGATTCGCCTTCGAACCTTGATGTAGCGCTTTCTCCTGTATTGAATGCTGTATTTCCTTCCAATGACAAAATTGATTACAATTCTTTACCTTCTATAAGTTCGATTCCATTATTGCCATCACCGGCTTTACCTGTGCCAGTTACTCCATCTACATCACGTGGTCAAATATGCACGAGATCTAGAAAGCGCGGACGTGACATGCAACCCCGACTTCTAGTAAAAAGAGCAAAACGACTACAATTAAATTTCCACTGGAAAAAAACACGTTTTTCCCACAGTGCTTCCATAGAACCAGTTGTATTTACAGATCCACCTCCTGAAGATATTTCTCCACGAAGGTACTTTGCACTGTTTTTCTCCGATGAAATCATTACTGAAATTGTAAATCAAAGTAATATGTATTCTGTAGAAAAAACAGATCGCTCTGCTAACATAACGAAGCCAGACATTGAAAATTTTGTGGCTATTCACATTCTTATGGGGGTGGTAAGAATGCCGTGTTATTTAGATTACTGGAGTTCGCGATTGAGGTATCCGCCAATTGCAGACATTATGCCTTTGAAGAAATATCAGCTAATCCGGCGATTTATTCACTTCGCTGATAATAATGAACCGAGTACGGATAGATACCAAAAGGTTCGACCTGTAGTTGAAAGTGTAAGACAAAACTGCTTACGTGATGCTGAAGAAGAGGACAGATTTAGCATTGACGAGATGACTCTTCCTTACAAAGGTAAAAAGGCTGGCAACAGGCGTCAATACAATGCAAAAAAACCAAAGAAGTGGGGTTTCAAAGCTTTTGTACGAAGTGGAGTGTCTGGATATGTTTACGACTTCCTTTTATACGGGGGTGACGATACCTTCCGCAGTATACAATTCAGCTCAGAGGAACATTCGTTAGGGTTTGGAGGTAAAGTAGTAGTGGTTCTCTGTCAATCGATTAAAAAAAGGCCATGCTTTGTATATTTCGATAACTATTACACATCTCTCGAGCTAGTAGTGTATTTGAGAAATGAGCTGGGAATATTCAGCCTTGGTAATGTAAAGGCTAACCGCTTGCGAGGATGTCAAGAGAAATTGGATACAGATAAAATGCTAAAAAGAAAAGGTCGGGGATCATTTTCGCAGATAGTTTGTAATCGCAATAAAGTTTCAGTCGTAAAGTGGTTAGATAATAAGCCAGTTACCTTGGCCTGTTCATTTGCTGACGCATATCCAGTTAGCAAAGTAAATAGATATTCCAAAGAACTGAAAACGCGGACGAATGTATATTGTCCGCAGGTTGTAAAATTTTATAACATGCATATGGGAGGTGTTGACTTGGCAGACATGTTGATAGCCCTTTATAGGACCCAAATAAAAAGTCGCAGGTGGTATATGGGCATTTTTGCTCAGATGCTAGATATCAGCGTAAATAACGGATGGATTCTATATCGAAGATATTGTGCCCAGAAAAATCTCAAGAAAACCATGTCACTCAAAGAATTTCGATGCCAAATTTTTTTCGAATTCCAAACCGATAGAGCACCATGATGTTCCGTATTGTAACCAAAAAATAAAAAAACCTGTAGTTCCTCGACCATTCGATGACACAAGGTATGATGGAGCAGATCACCTGCCAATTTTCGAGGAGAAAGGTCGTTGTCGCCTCTGTAAAACGGGTCAAACTAGCATTTGTTGCTCAAAATGTAGAACAAGGTTATGTCTGACTAAAGCTAGAAACTGTTTCTTCGATTTCCATAATTAAAATTTAACATTTTTCTCGATTTGTTTTATTTTCTTTCAGAACCTAATTTTGGCAATGTATCTCTGCAGATACACTGTCAGTTGCATATCATTATGTCCGTATTTGGCAGTGTATCCTGCTAGATACGGAGGATTTTCAAAAAACTACAAGATTTTCTTTTTTTTTAAATATTTTTTTAGGGTGCTAAATAAGTTACTTAATTGATATTTGTCGAAATTTCTATAAAAATTAAAAATAAATTGCCTTGCCAAATTAAGGGTTAAAGTACTGCACAAAGAAGAGACATCCAGACAGATAATAGGAAACAATGTATACTATATTCTATCTCATTCTCTCGTAGGCTAAATCTTATAAATGTATGTTTGTCCCTTTTTAGTATTGATTTATCGTTTCATAGATTTTCAAATCACAATGATCCTAAAAAGTATTCACCTCAAAAATAAGAAGTCCTTTGCTGGTCTCAACACAGTTAAAGAAAAAAAAAGATTGGCAGTACCCGCCAACTAAAATCCAATGTGCCTTACAACATACACAACATATTATGCAAGATCTGTTAGTTCTAATCATCTAATAAGATTCTATTGATTAAATATATACCATAATACTCAATTCATTAATTGTACATCTACATCCCCTAACGGGATCACTTTATGTAAGCATGTAAATATAAAATAAACTTAAATATGTATATGTAATAAACATTACTTTGTTCATAGTCATACCTAAGATTATACAACTAGTTATAGGTTTCTGTATTAAAGATACATTTCGTTTTCATATATGATCTGTCTTCTGAGGAATAGCGTAGAAAAATCATTACTGTGACAAATTACTCGTCGAAAATCTGTCATAATTCCCCATATTAAGAAACAGATCGTAACAGAAAACAAAATGTCTATTAAGTATACAAACTATTATAGAATAGTAAACTATACAATCAAGTTATAAAATCTCATTTTCTTTCATTAAATTACTAAACAATAAATATCTATACAGTGACTGCATACATTCATGATACATTTACATTTATTACTACTATATTATTAGTAAATTACAGACACAAATTGAAGACTTCTCATAATAATCCATGAATCATGTCCGGTTCACATTATCCAAGTGCTTTAGGAAAGTACATTAGTAGAATCGAAATAACAATACTTAAGAATCTAAATGGTTTAAAACTTAAGTTAAACAAAACATGACTGTGTAAATGTTTTTTACGAAAAAATAAAAATTTTATACCTTATGTCACTTCTACAACTAAGAAAAACACACCATATGTTAAAATCTATCAAGCTTTTTGGCAACAGAATGTGCCAAAGAAATAGACATACATACATAAATGGAATCTAAAAGCGCGGCGCCCACCTACGTAACGTAACGCGTGATCTGAGGCGTGATTTGACGCGTAACTTGTCACTCGCCTCAACATTCAAAGAGATTGTATGTAGTAGCCAGTGAGACCATATGTGGCAGGTTCCTGCCATTTTGGCAGGATTGGCCCCTTATTTTAGCCTCTGGCATGATCGATTGACGTTTTATAAAACCTGGCAGTATTTGGCAGTATTGGGATATTAAAAATAAATTTCACTATGGCAACTTTAAATGACGAAAATAGCAACCCTAGATACTTCGCCAGCGTGTTGGGGATTTCCCTGTATTTCTCGATTTCTCGTATTATCTTTGTATCACATTCAATAAACAAGTTTAAAAAAAATGTGTATAAAGTTGATAATCTTAAAACGAATTAACACGAGTTGGTTAATATTTCAGAGAGTCATAAAAGAGGCGAGACTTTAGTATGGTACCGCATTAGATTTCATGGTGATAACATCTTGTTAATTATATTTCGTGGACGATAGTAATTATAGGTGGCGGTGATGAAGCGAAAATATGAAAGGGCGTATAGAGCGAAGTGGGTGCAAGATCTTTTACTTTCATCATGGATCTCCAAAGCTGAAGATGATTCAGACTGTGTAACTGCAAATTGGCACCCCGGATGTCCTCTTTAAAGGAGCATGCCGCTACTAGTAAACATCAAAAAATATGAGTGGATTCAACATGCGAAAGAATATTCTCTTAAATAAATTTAATTAAGACAAAAACACGAAACAGATTTATAAACAAACCTTGCCTTGTTTAACGTCTATCTTGTACGTTAAACAAGGCATTGGTAAGCATTGCGATTGCATTGCATTCAAACCAACGAAAGATATGCTTAATTTTAATTAAAAAAATTACATTTATATGTGTGATTTTACTTTTCTTAGTTTAATACAATGGTAAATAAAGTTGGCAGTATTTAGGCATTATTCACTTCAGACTTTGGCAGGATTTGGCAGGTTTTTAACCAAAGTGAGGCAGGATTTGTATTTTAAAGATGGTCACCCTGGTAGTAGCGCCCATTCGTGTGGAGTGACGCCGCATGACCTGACGTGCCATTCAGTTTGCTACTAGCGACGCATTGTAGTGGCGCGTAACACGTAACTTGCAGTGACTTGTCTATACAAAATGAAACACGACCTAGCTTTTTTTCTTTTCATGAAAGGCCATGTATACAATATGATTGTTCTAGACCCGATTACATTAACAGGAATTCGCAAGATACTTCTTGCAACTTATAGTGACCTGTCTATGCAAAATATAATTCTAATTCCTTCATAGCATTCAAAGTACCACCATTTTTCAATTTTTTTCCTCAAAGCATGTACCCGAAATCTTTTGCTGGCACTTGGAATGTTTGAAATCTGTAGCATAGCAAGGGCATGATTATCTTCTTCAGACGACATTTTGGCTCAAACTGAATTCTGCGACATGCCATAGTTGCACAGGTTGGCGCAAGCAGTGTCACCCGTGGTCACGTCAGAGCATCGTCAGAATCATGCTACAAGCCATGTCAAAATCATGTAGCTTAGGTGGGCGCCGCGGTTAAGACATTACTGTCATTCTGGAATAGTGTGTTAAAGAGCAATTATGTTTGATTTTAGTAGTATTTAATTAGTACAAGCTATCATTTACACATTTCTACTAATAGCACTCTGCTCAACAACTCTTAAAAAGTAAAATAATGTAAACCAACCATTATTCATAGTGAAAAATGTATCTTACCGAATACGAACTTGTAAACACACTTTATAACTATTTAATATACTTTTAAATATCATCTGAGACCTATAGCAATCATTCTAAGCTTAAAAAGACGAAACCTCTTTGTAGAGGTAAATATTGATACTCTATTTGCACAAGAGTGAAGAATATAATATGGATGTTGGGTGATGATAACCCCTGGGAGTGAGGTGATCGCTACCAAGCTATTTCTGATTTGATTTGTGTTGTTAACTTTAATGATTGTTTTAAAAAGAAGTCCCACTGAGGTTTTCGTTGATTCTTCCTAGAATTTTCAAACCAATGGTAAATAAATAAGTGACTTTCAATAAATATTATTTATATAATGCACATATTGAATATAAAAGTTTCTATTTCTATATATTCTCTTCATCAGCTCATAATTATTCAGCTAGACATGAGCGTATCCCAAAAGGGAAGGAGCAGGGGGAGTGGGGTCAATACCCCACTCCCCCTTTGAAGAAACGATTGGAGGCACAATTGCCTCCAATCGTTTCTTCAAAAATGGAATTTTATTTATTGGGAAATGCTAAAAACAAATCCTTGGCAATACACCTCGACTATGGATAGCAATGATACCAGGATCAAGTATTAGCTCTGAATTCAACCAGCTGACTCGTGTAGTAAATATAAGCAAAATTTTTAAGGTAAGGGGGACTTTATAAAAAAAGCATTTGTAGTGTTACTCGCCAATTAAGTTGTAAAATGTGACTAATGGGATATTGGGTTTGTGTGAAACCCATATTTTTTGACAAAATGTAGTCCACCCACCGCTTGTGGATTACAAGCATGATGTTGTAAAATTACGGATGGTGCACTTTTAAAAACGCCAATATGCAGTAATGGAAAGTGTGATAAAGAAAGACATGTTTTGTAGTTCCATTTCCCTCTAGCTAATATTGAATAATTATTACTTACTTATACTTACTTATCTTCACGCACAATCCCTGACAGGGTAGCCAGAGAGCACAGATCGCCAAGTGTCACGATCCTTACAAACCTTTTTCGCTTCTTTCAGATTCATTATCTTCTTCATGCATGCACGTCTAGGTATCCGAGTACTCTTGACCCTACCCTCTTCGAGCAATTTGCTCACATGGTCTTCGAAAGTTAGTCTCGGTCTACCTCGACACCTTTTAATATTAACTTTCGCGCTATATATTTTCTTCACCATTCGGTCTTCACTCATTCGCTCAACGTGCCCAAACCACCGAAGCACGCCCTTATCAATTTTTGTGATAAGGTCATCTTTCAAACCTGCCATATTGCGAATATCTTCGTTTCGCTTTCGGTCGGCCATGGTAACGCCGCACATTTTACGAAGAGATCGCATCTCCACTGCATTCAACTTACTTTTATGCTTCTTCTGGCATACCCAGGTTTCGCTGCCATATAACAAAGTCGGTACCAACACTGCGTTATGTATTGCAAGGCGTGCACTCTTCGCTACGCCTTGCCTTTTGACTAACGCAGTCAGGGCACCATTGACTTTGTTCCCGGCAGCGACACGCCTGTCCACATCTAAATCACATCTTCCATCCCGGCTAAAAGCACTCCCCAAGTATACATTAATATTACGAATAATTATTAATATTACGAAGATAACTTTACCAATAACACAATCACATACAGTTGTCCGGAAGTCACTTGAGCGTCTTCCTCATTGCACTCACACAATCACTTAACACTACGTCTGAATGTCAACACAAACACTAAGTGGCTTTTAAGGACACAAAACTGACTCGGCTTAACTGCTCTCCTTATTAATCCATGTAGGAACAGTCTTCTGTCTCCGAACTAATTTATCTGTAAAACAAACATTTATATATAAGATATTATTCATAACTTACACCCATTTCATTGGGAGTAGGTAGAATTAAAAAATAATTAAGGCCCGGAAGTAAGTTTGGATGTGGTACTTTGAATTTAGGAGGATTTGATCCTATTTTTTTTAAAAAACCGTATCCATTTACTGGAATTTTACTTAGATATATAAAGTCTAATTTTGATGGAACTAAATAGGAGAATTACAAGTATGATATAATTTGTTTGTTTTTAATAGCTTTTAGATGCGATAGAGCCATGAAGCAGCTATATAGTTGTAGCATGAATGGGTCAGCTTACAGGATCACATGTAGAAGCTTAATATTGCTGTGTTTTGTATGGTGAGTGTAGAAAATAGGTGACCATTTTTACTGGTAACGAATGCCCTCAGGGGTGACAATGCATCTGCATTTTGATTCTTAATTGAGGATAAATGTACATATGTCTATAGGCGACAGTGTACATTAACCATTAGGTGGACTGTGTGCTTGTTTATGACCTATATATTAAAAAAAAAACTAATTAGTCTGAGCTGTAGTAGTCACTTTTGGTCATACACTATGAGATAAATCCATTAAAAATCTATTTTTGAAATTTTTGTAGGTTAGATATTATTTTTAAAGATATTCACTAGACAAATTGACCGTGAAAGGAAATTTTAACTTTGTATCTAAAAGCGTATTCTTCTTCTTTTTTGTCTAGGTTTGCTAAAATTTGTTAATGATGTACTGACTGCAAAATGAAAGTTGATGAGTTTGATTAAAATAAGCTTTTTTTTTATTATTTATTTAAAAAACGTTATTTCCACACTAGGATTTTCTCCTGTGTTGTGGAGGCATTTTACAAGTATAAATTGCAGAAGGACAAACATTTAGGTCTGGAATAATTATTTGTAGGCCATATAAATATTTGTTCTGTGTATATAGTACGTATGTATTTTGTATGTGTACAAGTTTTGTAGCGTTTTGAAAAATTTTATGTGCTGATGAATCACCTGGAATAAATGACAAACATAGGTGTTAGAATCTTAAACAAGGGGGAGAATACTCGTAGTTGGGGAATATTCAGTTGCTGTATAGTGTGAGTATTCACAGTTGATGTAATTTTTTTTAAGAATAATAGTGACAAATGAGCACATAGTACACCTGATGGTGCAGTGACCCACCCATAGGGATCTATGTCTACTTTCATTTAAGAATCAATATGCAGAGATTGCCTCATTTCCCATAAAGTATCTCCAAGCATTGTGTACATATGACAGGGTGTGTTAGTGCTACAAGCTGCAGGTTGGACACAGTGGAGGTGCACTCACAGTCGGCCCCCGGCGGGCGCGCTGGCCAGGTCGACGGCCAGCACGGCGGCGGGGGCGGCGCGCCCTCAGCTGCGGCGGTGGCGGCCCCCCCGCCGGCGCCGCTCCCTCCTGCCGCCGCCCACCGCGCCCTCCCCGCCCTCGGCCCAGCGCTCGTACGCGCGCTCGCGCTTCAGCCACTCCTGGTACTTGTACCACCACTCCTCCCACTTCACGTAATCTGGCAGCGTCAGCCCTCGCAAGTAACCGCGCTTCTTGTAGTAGTCGTATCTCACTCGCACATCGTCCCATGAAGGTAGTCCTGCTGGTGCTGCAACGAGGAGTTCCTCCGGGTAGCTTCCGGCGGGAACGTCTCCCGAGACTCCTGGGGCGGCTGGGGGTTCGATGCGTTCAATCCTCACGTGAAGAGTTGCCTCTCGTCTTGTGATCCGCATGTTCTCGAGCCTCGCGGATCTGTCGAGCGACCACTGTGCCATCTTGCCGAAGCGTTCGGACAACGTTAACCGTTGTGGTTGCGGTTCGGAGCTACCTTCAGAGTCGGATTCTGAAGAAGTGCCTGCAAGAGCGGCCACTATGGCAGTAGGTGAAACTCCTCGTTCAGGGCGTTCAGGATATTCAATATGTTCTAACCGTTCTGGACGCGGTCGACGACGTTCACCCTCACGCTTTATACCGGTCACGTCCAATTGGGAACGCTGCCATTCGAGCACCTACAATGTGAAATAATTTAAATCCACTTAAAATCACAAATAATAATAATAAGGCACTGTTATGTTCTTTAATCACGTGATAAAGAAACCGCCAGTACTCACAGTACAAAAATGACGGCGATTCATAACGTCATACATATCCCAATAATACTGCGGCAGTATACTAAACAAATTTTTCACCAGTGAGAACACTAAGCAGTGCTCGCAGTTTATATTGAAACACACCTTAAATACAATATTGTTAAAAAAATTATCACTATACTAACCAAGTTTAAAAATTATTTTATTCTAAACATAATACATTACATATTATGCAGAGACCAAGATAACAAGAAAATATACTGTATTCTATCTCATTCTCTCGCAGCTAAATCCTATACATGTATATATATATATATATGTTTTATCTTTTTTTTTTAGTGTCACTTTTTCGTTTCATCAAGTTTCAAATCACAACAATTCTAAAACTAGTTTCACTTCAAAAACTCACCTTCTCCTCCCGAGTCCTCTTACTAGCCTCCCTGGCTTTGAGCAATTCACGCGTGGGCTGCACGACTCGTGTAGCTCTTGTGGTTGGTGGAGCCCGTTTAGCCACTGCAGCACATCCCGGTGAAGTTGAACTACAAACAACACATTTTGCATGCCGTAAGCGCAAAGCGCGAGGTATGTTCTACTAGGGCCTAAAATATTAATAAGCTAGCTCTCCCTGTACAATTTTATATAGAATAAGGGTGACAAACGAACACACAGTCCACCTGATGGTAAGTGGTTGCTGTGGCCCATAGACATCTGCATCTATCCTCGATTAAGAATCAAAATGCAGATCGTTGTCACTTGACACCCCTGGGGACTAAGATGGAATCCCTTATTTGCAGTAAAAACGGTCTCCGGTTCTCTACAATCACCATACTTTCCCCCGTTAAGCCGATCCATTTGTGCTGCTGTCAGAATATAGCTGCAGTATGACTCTAACATGTACAAATATAAGATGGATCAAAGACCCCTAACTATCAAGCATGTATATGAAGAAATATGGATGTTAATATGCAGACCTTTTCTATCAAAACATTTAAATTATATTTATTAAGCAAATATTGTCTAGTAAGGGTTATTATTAATGACCGACCGAAGATTCGGTTTCGGCAAAAAATCTACCGAACCTTCGGCGGCGCCGAAACTCAGTGTTCGTGGATTATCGTGAGTCGTTCGAATGAGTTCGTGACTCGTGTATTATTCATAATTATACAGAAACAAAAACAGAAACTATTTTATTCAATATAGATTATAAATAAGACTTATTGAAAGTCACTCTTTCGTTTAATTACCACTGGTTCGATAAAAAACGCAAGAAACCCAGTGGGACTTTTTTTTTAAATAACAGCTTACAGTCAGAGGTGTAGCGTGAACTAATATAAACATGGGCGAAGTTGCATCAGCGAGGCCACTTTTCTTCGTTCCAAGGATCTACCCAATAGATCTATCCTACCAAACCACTGACTTATATGTACTACATACTAGAGAAGCTATTCCGACCAAAAATTGTGCACTACTCTATGTCTTCGCGCATGCGCGGGATTAGTAGTCGCGTATGCGCGAAAACTTTAATTGAATATAAAATAAGATATTAATATAAAATAAATATAAGAATTTAATATAAAATACATATATCTAAATGAAATGTAATAATAATTATCTTATGGAATTCACATCTTTAATTTACGCAATATTTAGTTTAGTGTACGGATTGCAGTAGAGTTCAGATGAACATAGTCAATATTCGGAATGCGAAATCTAATACGTAGTACATATATATCGATGTACCAAACGTGCCTTGACACGACATACCTACTCATATCTATTAATTCCTGACAAGTCTCTTATTCCGTCAATGTAGCAGTCGCGGTCTTTGAAGGTAGTTACAACGGCCCCGCAGAAGCACTTAAGAGGGGCTTCTTGCGAGGCCTCAAACAAACACACTAAAATTTGTGCCTTTCTTTTT